TAACGGGTCCCTTGCATGCTTGTACCCTCGTTGGAAACGTGTTGAAGATCGGGGAGAAATTTTACAACTCCAGTATATGCATTAACAACATTATTATACGAGTTTACAACATCAGTATAGGTTTTCACAACAGCTTTCTGAAGATGGAAACAAATACCCCCTTTTACAACATCGGTGAAGCGTTTAACAACTTAAGTATATGTTTTTCACAACTCAAGTATAACCGTAAGCTAACGGGTCCCTTGCATGCTTGTACCCTCGTTGGAAACGTGTTTAAGATCGGGGAGAAATTTTACAACTCCAGTATATGCATTAACAACATTATTATACGAGTTTACAACTTCAGTATAGGTTTTCACAACAGCTTTCTGAAGATGGAAACAAATACCCCCTTTTACAACTTCGGTGAAGCGTTTAACAACTTAAGTATATGTTTTTCACAACTCAAGTATACCCGTAAGCTAACGGGTCCCTTGCATGCTTGTACCCTCGTTGGAAACGTGTTAAGATCGGGGAGAAATTTTACAACTCCAGTATATGCATTAACAACATTATTATACGTGTTTACAACTTCAGTATAGGTATTCACAACAGCTTTCTGAAGATGGAAACAAATACCCCCTTTTACAACTTCGGTGAAGCGTTTAACAACTTAAGTATATGTTTTTCACAACTCAAGTATACCCGTAAGCTAACGGGTCCCTTGCATGCTTGTACCCTCGTTGGAAACGTGTCTAAGATCGGGGAGAAATTTTACAACTCCAGTATATGCATTAACAACATTATTATACGTGTTTACAACTTCAGTATAGGTATTCACAACAGCTTTCTGAAGATGGAAACAAATACCCCCTTTTACAACATCGGTGAAGCGTTTAACAACTTAAGTATATGTTTCTCACAACTCAAGTATACCCGTAAGCTAACGGGTCCCTTGCATGCTTGTACCCTCGTTGGAAACGTGTTGAAGATCGGGGAGAAATTTTACAACTCCAGTATATGCATTAACAACATTATTATACGAGTTTACAACTTCAGTATAGGTTTTCACAACAGCTTTCTGAAGATGGAAACAAATACCCCCTTTTACAACATCGGTGAAGCGTTTAACAACTTAAGTATATGTTTTTCACAACTCAAGTATAACCGTAAGTTAACGGGTCCCTTGCATGCTTGTACCCTCGTTGGAAACGTGTTAAGATCGGGGAGAAATTTTACAACTCCAGTATATGGCTTAACAACATTATTATACTAGTTTACAACTTCAGTATAGGTTTTCACAACAGCTTTCTGAAGATGGAAACAAATACCCCCTTTTACAACTTCGGTGAAGCGTTTAACAACTTAAGTATATGTTTTTCACAACTCAAGTATACCCGTAAGCTAACGGGTCCCTTGCATGCTTGTACCCTCGTTGGAAACGTGTTAAGATCGGGGAGAAATTTTACAACTCCAGTATATGCATTAACAACATTATTATACGTGTTTACAACTTCAGTATAGGTTTTCACAACAGCTTTCTGAAGATGGAAACAAATACCCCCTTTTACAACTTCAGTGAAGCGTTTAACAACTTAAGTATATGTTTTTCACAACTCAAGTATACCCGTAAGCTAACGGGTCCCTTGCATGCTTGTACCCTCGTTGGGAAACGTGTTGAAGATCGGGGAGAAATTTTACAACTCCAGTATATGCATTAACAACATTATTATACGAGTTTACAACTTCAGTATAGGTTTTCACAACAGCTTTCTGAAGATGGAAACAAATACCCCCTTTTACAACTTCGGTGAAGCGTTTAACAACTTAAGTATATGTTTTTCACAACTCAAGTATACCCGTAAGCTAACGGGTCCCTTGCATGCTTGTACCCTCGTTGGAAACGTGTTGAAGATCGGGGAGAAATTTTACAACTCCAGTATATGCATTAACAACATTATTATACGTGTTTACAACTTCAGTATAGGTTTTCACAACAGCTTTCTGAAGATGGAAACAAATACCCCCTTTTACAACTTCGGTGAAGCGTTTAACAACTTAAGTATATGTTTCTCACAACTCAAGTATACCCGTAAGCTAACGGGTCCCTTGCATGCTTGTACCCTCGTTGGAAACGTGTTGAAGATCGGGGAGAAATTTTACAACTCCAGTATATGCATTAACAACATTATTATACGAGTTTACAACTTCAGTATAGGTTTTCACAACAGCTTTCTGAAGATGGAAACAAATACCCCCTTTTACAACTTCGGTGAAGCGTTTAACAACTTAAGTATATGTTTTTCACAACTCAAGTATACCCGTAAGCTAACGGGTCCCTTGCATGCTTGTACCCTCGTTGGAAACGTGTTGAAGATCGGGGAGAAATTTTACAACTCCAGTATATGCATTAACAACATTATTATACGAGTTTACAACTTCAGTATAGGTTTTCACAACAGCTTTCTGAAGATGGAAACAAATACCCCCTTTTACAACTTCGGTGAAGCGTTTAACAACTTAAGTATATGTTTTTCACAACTCAAGTATAACCGTAAGCTAACGGGTCCCTTGCATGTTTGTACCCTCGTTGGAAACGTGTTTAAGATCGGGGAGAAATTTTACAACTCCAGTGTATGGCTTAACAACATTATTTTAAATTTTTACAACTTTAGTATCGGTATTCACAACAGCTTCCTCGAGATGGGGGAAAAAACCCTTTTCACAACTTCGGTTAACCTTTTAACAACGTCAGTATAAGGTTATCACAACGCAGGTATACCTGTTAACCACCTGGTTTACAGGCGTGCTTACGCCCTCTTTAGAAACGTGTTTACGGACTAAACCCACTTCAATATGCGTTCCCAACAGCATTTCCGATAATGACTAAACCCACCATATTACAACTTCAGTAAACCATATAACAACCCCTAAATAACGTTTCAACAACTCGAGTAAAAGTTTAACAACTGTCATAAAACAAAATGATCAGTAATACCCATATTTTTAACTCAGTTCAAATGAAGTTCATATACGATGATCATACTTAAAAACATAAAACATAAGGCAACAATATCAAACATGAATAATAAGGGGACTCGTCTTGCAACTTCTGTCATTGTTAACAACACAGTTAAAGGAAATAACAACTTCAATATAGGTATTTTCCTATAACCAGATCCTTCCTGACAGTACTTACAATCAGTGACAGGCTAACATTAATATTTCATCCCCACTTAATGTTTTCTTGTCACTGACATCAAAATACACATTTCACTGACTATGTGTGACTTACGATGTCGACTTACCACATGACACAACCCTTCATCCAAAAAAATATGAAGAGTTGCAAAATATTTACAAGCCACAACAAAAAATAACCTTTACAAAATAAACCCACACGTGGACTACCAATTTTAACTTGGGTTTGGATTTCTGCATGTTCTTTTACTATGCCCAGGTTCATGACACTGTCCACAGTGGTAAATCTTCCTGTTTTGGAATTGGGATTCCCGCCTCCTAATTCTTGGCCTTCCCGAAGGTCTACTAGTTGTAGGTGGGTATAGCCACACTTGGTTTCCTATATTTTGCAGCATATAATCATTAGGATTAGGCCTGTCAATTGTCACTACTGGAATCATGGTGTTCCCATAAATCTTCTCTTGGGATGTTATTTTATAACAGTCCTCCACAAAATCATACACATTTGCATGAACCACCCTTATTGCAGCACAAGCGTGTGGACACGGAATCCCTGTCATTTGCCATGCAGCACAAGTGCATTCATGTGACTGAACATTGACATATAAGGCTCCACGCGAAGTATGTACACAGACCCTGCCACCTCCATAAGGTTCACCATGCATATGAATCGATCTAGCCACATTTTCCATCACTTTTCCATCAATGTTTGGACCCACACCATTTCTCCAGTTCCTCATTGCCACACTTGCTGCGAACATCTTCCTTGCAACCTTCTCACGATGTTCATGAATAAGTTGGGCAACATTATGCTGCCTTTCCTTTACAATCCAAGCATTGAATGACTCAGCAATGTTCGTTGTTATGTTATCCCACCGTTTATATGCAAACTTGCTCATTGCCCACTTATGAATATCACCATGATTGTTAAGCCACTGAAGTAACTGAGGACTGAAATTTCCCATCCTTGTCATTGCCTTATCAAACTCAACGTTAACCCTTGCATATGCAATGTCATCAAGCAACTTTAATCCAACTTCCTTACTAATACCACTAGTTCTCCTCCTACCTCTGTATAATTTATTCATTTCAGAGCTGAAATTTTCCTTCACATGTCTATAACAGTATGCATGACGGTCACCTCCAAATATTGCTCCAACAGCTCCTATTATTGCATTGTGACGATCTGACACAATAATTAATTGGATTGCACCAACTATCTGTTTTATCATGTTTAAGAACCATGCCCACTCCTCATAAGTCTCTCCTTTCACAATAGCATACGCGAATGGTAACAATTCATTGTCCGCGTCATATGCTGAGGCTGATAGCAGTGTTCCCCTATATGGTCCACTCAAATGTGTTCCATCTATGTACAGTATATGTCTTGCCCCAGACAAAAAACCCTCTATGCAACAACCATATGCTATGAAAACACGCTCAAATATATTGTTAACAGTTGCTACCCATTCAGCTACCGTCTTCTCATCGGTTTCCTTCAATCGTTGACATATCCATGGTATCAACATGTATGACTGTTCAGGCCTCCCTTGTATTTCCTCTAATGCTTTTTCCTTAGCCCTATATGCTTGCTTATATGTCAACTTCACACCATAATCCCTTGCCCAGGTCCTCCTTATTTCATTTGGACGCTTTTCAGTGTGATCCCTTACCTCCTCAATGATAATTGATGATGTCAAGGCTGCTCTTCTACCATGTGTAACTTGCATCATCTCTTGGGCATTATGCACATGTTCATTACTGAGTCGAGTTACAACAAGGAAAGGACTTCTCTTCGCAGCTACTCTTGCTATTATCCGTCAAGGACAACCTTCAACTTTGCATTTCACATGCACACATTCCTCACAATTTTTGACATATTTGTACTCGAAGTTTTCTGCAATACTAAACTTATATACTGCCTTTCTGAATTCTGTGGCATTTGCAAAAGTTTGCTTCTTTCCTAACAACAATTCCTTCCACTTCACAGCATTCATCTCGGGCATTGGTGTTGGTGCAATCTCTACTGTACTTACTAGCCTCACATGACATCCCCCACCGCCTTCTCTTACACAGTCACCCCCATTTTCATCACAAACTGTTCCGTCCATATTATTCTCCCTACTTGACAAAAAACACATTTGTTGTGACAATCCCAAGTAGTTGTCAATGCTGCATGCATAATTACAACTTTTGTTAGCAAATTCACAACAACAATATAACAAATAACAACTAAAATAACCATAAAAAAACAAGTCTCACATTTGTGGATCATCCATTACTTCCGGTGTACTCTCCTTCAATGCTAGATACACATGTGCACTAGTGTCATTATACTGAAAAAGATTATCAACTTCACTATCATCAACCAAATCTACTAATGCCTTATCATCGAGGCTCACTGTATATTTCATGTCACAAATATTAACATCTATATCAAACCATTCCAATATCATTAACCTCAACTCTTCATATCTTATCCCCTGTTTTATCGTTCTAACTCTCACACTCCCACCATTGTATCTCATTTCACCTTCAACATTATTAACAAAGTTTCCACCAAGATGAAAAATCAACGCAAGTGTCTTTGAATATGTTGACCCAATATTGCAACTCATTCTGCATTATACCCTGCAACAAACAAGGAAAATATTTCATCACAATGTCATTTCTGTAAAAAGGATATTTCATAAACCCAACACAACTACTTTCAAAGTTAACAACTTCAATATATCGTTTCACAACTCCACTTTAACTATTAACAACACCCTTCACAACCTCATTACTATGGATATTCAGCCTACTTATATACGTGATCATCGCAGCGCTTCTTCCAATTTCCCTCAGCTACCATCTGCTATCCCAAAAAACAGATCATTATAAACACCGTCCCAGACTAAGCTAACTCTATCACTCACTACCCGACTCATACGTTCCATTCCCACAAGTTAAAAACAACAACCAATACCTCCAGATGAATCAACTTACGATTGCTGTAGCATCGTCTCCCTCTTAAGCTGACAAAACTAACTTGGCCAGAACCCTAACCTTATCTAACAGTAATCAACTCATTTGTTCAGATTGATGACCATTCTCACACCTAAAAAAGAAAAAACCAACACCCCAATATGAAGAACGTATGCCTTACGTAATGCCGCCCCTTACCTACTCTAAACCCTCAACGCCACATACAGAACGCATGACCACCAAAATGAAAAAACAGACCGCAACAGTCATGCATGGAGGATGAAACAGTCATATGATTCCAAAAAAACACTTACCCTTTCGAACCACCACGTTTTCGTTACCTTCGACCTGCTGGAACGCGCACGTTTCTCTCCTTTCCTTCCCGCCTATCTTCCTTCGGTGTGCGGCTTATTGTGGTGCCCATGTGGTGCCCACGCTTTGTAATGGGTGAGGGCGGTTTGGTCTTTTTTGTCTAAGAAAATAATCCCAAAATGGTCTGCTGGTACCAAAACGGGATTACTGAAATTCGGCGGACGTTTTTGGGCTTTTGGAGTTGGAGGTGCATTTTTCTGGCATTTTCCCTTTTCATTATTTGAATATAACAATTATATTGTTTAAAATAAAATTTTAAATATATTATTAAAATGTAAAATATAATCCACGATTTCTTTCAATTTTATTGATTTTACTAATAAACCGAAGTCCGACCAAATGTTTAACTAGACAACTAATACTCTACTTGGTCCACCATTTTACCCCTAAAATCAAAGTAGACAATTGAAAAAGAACCAAACAACACTAAAATACGTGGGATTTTATGAAATTAAGTTTAGCTAACGCAACTCGCGAAGTCCCTCCGTCTCTCGACGCAGCTTCAGCTCCATCATTCAAAGCCTCAACTCGCTTCCTAACCAACTGACCTTTCTCCGATTCCATCAACTCAGTGACTCGCTCTTCCACTTCCACCGCCTCAACCCATCCACCCTCCGACGACGACGACTCGCGCATCCACAACGCAATCTTCATTTCCACCACCATCATCACCCTGTTAAACCTCTGTTCCGCGTACAGGGGCCACGCCACCATCGGCACCCCAGCGACCAGCGCCTCCAACACCGAGTTCCACCCGCAGTGGGTCACGAACCCGCCCACCGACCCGTGATTCAGTACCTCAACCTGCGGTGCCCATTTCTTCACCACCATACCTCTTCCTCTTGTCCGATCCATGAAACCCTCCGGAAGCAAGAAAACCAGATCTGGGTCAACCTGCGACGATACTGCGACACTCTGGGTTTTTTCCGACGGTGGATTCCTCACTACCCACAAGAATCTCTGGCCACTCCCCTCTAATCCACGAGCTATTTCATGCAATTGCTCTCTTGAAAACAATCCCAAACTCCCGAAAGACAAAAACACGACGCTTCTCTGAGGCTGTGAATCTAGCCACTTAAGACATTCATGCTCTGCAACTTTTCCTTTATCACGAGAAATCAAAGGACCCACCGGATAAATGGGCGGCGTTGGACCATCCAGTATACAAAACCCATCAAAAATTGCCCCGAGATACTTGTCTTCCAGAGCTTCAAATGTGTTAACAATAATACCAGCTGTTTTGCGTGCTAGAACCGAGCATTTCAAGAATTCTTCGTAAGCGAAATCATTCCGTTCAAGCACTGGTTCAGGCATGTCCTCGCCGGCTATCGGTGGAAGGCCAGGAATATTGAGATGGGTATCGATTTCTTTGAGGCTCTTATCGGTGGTCCGGTGGATGGTTGGGAGGTAGAGGAAGGTAACGAGGTTGCTGGCACTAGTGGTGAAGAAGTAATAGGTAGGAATGTTGAGTTGAAGAGAAACAGAGATAGCTTCAGAAGCAAAGAAATCTACAATAAATGCGATAATGGCATGAGTTTTAGAGATGGAAATAAGAGCTTGGTGGAGATTGGGGCTGTTAAGGCGAAGAATCTCCAAGATTTCCTTAGGCGGCGTAGAAGGAAGAGGAGGAGACACGGGAGGGAGTTGTTCGAAGACGATGTGAGGATCAACGGAGGTAGAGATGGCGGCGACATAATCGGCAATAGAGGGGTTGGGTGGTGAAGGGAGGAGGATGGTGATTGAAAGAGAAGGTCGGAGGGACAGTATAAGCTTGCTTAGCTCTACTATGGGAACCAAGTGTCCCCACTGCATTTGGGGAAACAGAACTACCGCCTCTTTCATCTCCAGTTGCCGCAAATGCACAATCTAGCTCTGCATCAATGCAATGTATGTGCGCGATATTTAGCGGAGTTCTATTAAATTTTCTTTTGCACAGTGCGGATGACCAAAGGCCGATTATGTTACTGCGTGTTATACTAAATATAAAAACTAATTAAAAATTTTAAATATAAAATTTTAATTCATTTTATTTTTTAAATTTATAATGTATTTTGAAAAACATTCCTATTGATTATAAGATATTTTCACCCCAAGTACAATTTCAATTTATATGATTAAATAAAAGTAATCTAAGAAAGTCAATGCACATTTGTCCCAAATAATTAATTTAATTAATTTTTTCAAACTCCTTAGATTAATTATCTACTTCTTATCTTATTGGAGGTCGTATTTGAAATGATAGAAATAAATTTATTATTTACATTTAATTGAATAAAAATGAAATTAAAAAGACTAAAGGGGGAGGGGAGCGGAAATATATTACGTGTCTGACTATTAGGTGAGGCGTGGGTTGGTTCACCCACAAGCGATGAGGTCAATCGCACGGAAAATGATCAAGTGATTTCTATTATGCTATGTATGGCGAAGACAATGATGGGTCCTCAGTGCAGCTGCTCATGGCTAGTGATAAACAATGTGCACTTATTATTGTAGTGTAATCTAGCATTCAAAATTTAATATGAGTAGTTGAGATTTAAAATTTTTAATATGTAATTTTTTAATAGTAAGTTTATTATTTTATAAGTGTAAATTATAAGATTATTTTTATTTTAAATTCTATATCCATTAAAATTAAAAATTAATAAAAACATGTAAAAAAAAATGAAATTTAATCTAAAGCATATAAAAATTTGATATGGATAGCCCAAATTAAGTCGAGCACCCTATGCTCATTATTACGATGGGCATGAAATGTGCTTTTGAATTGATATGAAGGGCTTTTGGTATTAAAAGAACAGAAATTCACTCCTAGTAATTAATAAGTAATATGAAAAATTTGACATGATATCAAGGGCAGAGAAAAACAATCAAATAAAAGAGGAAAAAAAAGAACAAAGGAAAAAAAAAGGCAAAAAAGAAGATTAAAAAATGGAAGGTAGAGAGAGAAAAATAAATTATGTACATGAGATTCAGATAGGAAGAATAGAGAAAATTGTCAGAAGAATATTAAAGAAAGAAGTGCCACATCTAATAATTAAGAAATTTGGATGTGCGCAATCAAGCCGCTCTTGTTATTTTAAAAATATTATTATCGGAATTAATTTTTTTTGCCGACTATTACCAAAATTAAATTAACCATTGGGTCCAGCAATATAAAAAAGCAACTCTTCTAGAAATATAATACTACCTTGATCCTAATTATAAGGTCTAGTTGACTAATTTGAGGAGATTAACGAAAAATGTTAAGTTAGTTATTTGTAACAAATAGATGCTGTTTTTCCTAAAATATCCTTACTAATCAAGTGTATTAGTTAGAACTATTATTATTAGAAGGACTACCTTGGAAAAAAAAACATAAATATGAGAGACAAAGTGAATTGGAGTCTTATATTTAGGATCAAAATAAAAATCAAACAAGGTCTTATATTAAGGACCGGAAGTAGTATATTAGAGATCTAGACATTTAGTTATATAAAAATGTTATTACCAGAATTAAATTAGGAAAAATGATAAAAAAAAATGCTGGAAATTACTAAATCTCAAATCAAGTTTGATAACAACACTTTATTTGGTGTTGACAATACTGAATTTGTAAATGAGAACAAACTTTTGTTGACATTACTTATTTGGCATTTAGTAATTTTCAGTTTTTTTTATCATTTTCCCATTAAATTAACCTTTGGAGCTAACAATATGTTTTTATTTAGACGTCTGGTATTTTAAGGCTTCAATAATTCTTTTTTTGGTTCAACGCTGAAGCTACCTTTTCAAACTTAAAAGTTTGGCAGTGCATTTTAACCAGAGAAAAAAAAGGTTAGTTAATTCACGAAGTTGGGAAACTCACGGGACAGGACGAGATGGGATTAAAATAAACTGCGATCCCAACCGAGACGGGACAGACATCCCACTCCTTCTTTTTTTTTTTTGTAAAAAGTTGATGCAAAAAATGAATGGTAAAAAGAAAGAAGATGGGCTAGTTTAATAAACTACCCATTATAAGTGAAGAAAATAAGCACCAATTGTAGTCTTGTATTGCTTATTATATCATTTTAGGAATCAATTCAAGACAGCAACCTAATTTGTAGCAGGACAGGAAAGATCAACCAAATGAAGAAAAACCAATTTTCTTGAAGCAGCTCCATAGCACTCACAAAGGAAAAAGCAACTCTAGAACAATAAATCAATGAAATAAGAACCACTCAACCCAACGGACATCCAAAGGATCAATTAGAAGAAAACCTAACAATTTTTCCAGATCCTAATTAGAAATATAATAATAGAGAAGTTTCATAATCCAAGATTCATTAAAATCAACACAGACCCAGAACAACAAGGACTATATATCCGAAGTGCTCCCTTTACTAGTTTAATTTGTACCTTCCTTCTCTAATGGAAGAGAAAGGAGGACGGAGAGGCGACCGGCCAAGCATTGCAAGAACCTGCGACTTGAGAGCATTGATCGATAAGGACTGCTAGCCAAGCATTGCAAGAACCTGCGACTTGAGAGCGGTGATCGATAAGGACTGCTAGCGACTTGCGAGGACCCACTGATGAGGATTGCAAGTGACTGGCGACTTGATAGCAGTGAGGCTGAGGAAAGAGAGGCGATAAGGCCAAAGGAGAGGCGGGTATCACGACTTGTGAGCAATCATTGAGGACTGATGAGGGAGACGCAAGAGGGCGTGTGAGTAGTGACTAGAGAGAGGGGAATGAGCTCTAGAAAGAATGAAATTAAGGATTTGGAGTTTATTTTTAAAAACAACATAACATATATAAGTATTTAAAAATAAATTAATTTTTTAAAAAATAAATATTCTCCGAAGAGACACCCCTATCCTGAATCCCGTTTAGTCTTGGGATTATTTTTTGTCTGATCCTAAAAATTTTTGGGACGAGACCATCTCATTCCAAATATGACCGAGACTGGGATAGGCTAACCAAATTAGACATGTTGAACACCCCTAGCATGAAGTAGTACAATCACCTGATTGGCTGAAAAAGTTTTGAACAAGGTAGGCCTAAATATAACAACAACAACAACAAGCTTTATCCTACTAGGTGGGGTCGACTACATGGATCACATGATGCCATCATGCTTTGTTAATAACCCAGTCCTTAGATGTATTGTTGACTAGAAGGTCTTGTTCAATGACCTCAAAGCTCATTTTGAAAAAAAATCCAAATATGAAAATCAACTTAAATCAACATTCTAAACCAATTAAACACCAATTCTCACTCATATTAACACAATCCAATCCTCAAAGCTCATTTTGAATCATTTCATTATCATCTATTATCAAAAACCTTCAAGAATCATAAACCCTAGCTCCAAAATCATCAAAACTCCAAATCTAAGAAAACTACATTGGTTAAACTTTTACTCTAGTCCATGTAAGTCATTCAAGCACAAAATAATCAGTCAAAACCTCAGCATATTGAAAATCATTGAAGAATCTTAAGATCCAACTATCTAAATCTCGAAATAGTATTTTAGTCAGATCTTCATTAGGTAGTAAAAAAGGGGTAGAAGTTTGTTCAGTTTGTAAAAAAAAAAAAAACAAATAATCATACTTGGGCTCAATAAACAACACATCACCTATATTGCTTTTGTGGGTGATCATCATCATAATATGACTAGCGCTACATAGGATCACATCAAAGATATCAGTGACAGTAAAGATACATTTGCTCATGTTCTCAGAAAGTGGATTGCCTATAAGAAGACTCCACTATATGCTCCCTGGAAGATTGACCTGCTTGTTGTGGATGAGTAGGTAAGTTAGAGTTTATCATTGCTTAATTATCTAAGGTTTACTACTATTAAATGACCCCACAAAATTCGTACAGGGTTCTAGGATAGAAGGTTTTGTAACACAAAGAGGACTGTTTGAGGGTTATAAAAATGAACCCAAAGAGCGTGGAGTATACCACTTTGAAAACTTTAAGGTTGTTGATAATGGAGATCAATACAAAGTAATGGTGTCACATCCTAAAAAAATTTCATCTAGACATAGAGAGTTAAAAATTAGGATGAGGGCTAATATAGAAAGTAGACAGAGGGATGAGACAGCTTTTGATGTGAAACCTCGATAGGGTCCAGGTTGACATTTTTGGATTTATTAGTCTAGGAAGGGCAAAACAGGAAGATTTGAGAAAAATACTAGTAAACTCCTGAAAAATGGTAAAAAGATGAATTAGATGTTTTGGAATCTTCTTTGAGGCCCGAAAGGTGAAATTATCATGAAAATAACTTGTTATGGAATTTCCCGTAAACAGAGGTTTTTTAGAAAAAATAGTGAAAAATTGGAGGAAAATAATTATTTTAAATAGTTAGAGGCCTCAATAATTCTAAAAAAAATATGAAATAATTATCTAAATATTGGATTAAATTTATAAAATTAGTTTCAGGCCTTGGAAACATAGGAATTAATTTTAGAGAATTTATTTTCAGCAGTCTTACCGATAGAGACCTAATCAGGAAAAACTCAAAATAAATAGTTAGAGGTGGAGAAAATTTATGAAAATTTTCTGATCATATCCTTATATTAAAAGGGGATTTTTCATAAAGATAGAAATGAGTTTTTGGAAGCCTAGAAAAATTATGGAATGTTACAAGTGAATAGTAACTGATAAAGTTTCAAAATGATCTGAGATTGTGATTTGGTTTGTAGGCTATCTTTTTGGGCCATCTTAAACCATGTGTGGGCCCCACATTGGGCATGGAAGAAGACCAAATTCGTGCAGTTTCTGAACCCTTCAATTTAATTGAAATAAAACCCATTTTTTATGTAATTATCTTAGAATATTCTAGCAAAAAGACACTTGCCTTGATCTGAATGTT